CGCTTTGCTTTTGGACGAGGACGGCACCCAAACCGATATCACTGGCGTCTGTGTGCATTTTCGTTTCGGCGTTTTCGTCGAAATGAGCGAGCACGGGCGGGTTTCGCAGGCGTTGTTGCAGCTCGCAGAATGCCTTTTCTTGGTCGTTTTCCCAGCTGAAAGGGATGCTTTTTTTCGTCAGGCGCGTGAGTGGCTCTGCAATGCGTGCGAAGTTTGCGACGAAGCGCCGGTAGTATGCGCACAGTCCGAGAAACCTTCGCACACCATTCTTATCTTTCGGCCTTGGGAAGTTCGCAATGGCTGATGTTTTTGCTGGGTCAGGTAGGACTCCCGCGGCATTCACGACGAGACCCAAGAACTTGAGTTCCTCGTACGCGAAACGGCACTTCTCAGGCTTCAGCGTTAACCCCGACGTACGAATGGCCTCGAGTACAGATTCCAACCTTTTGAGGTGTTCGTCGAAAGTCCGGGCGAATGCGACAACGTCGTCGAGGTATACGAGGCAAGTGTGCCACTTCAGGCCTGCTAGCACAGTGTCCATGACTCTCTGAAACGTTTCGGGCGCCGCGCACAGCCCAAACGGCATCACCTTGATCTCGTATAGACCATCCGGGGTTATAAATGCAGTCTTCTCTCGGTCTCTCTCGTCCACTTCAATTTGCCAGTAGCCGGTCTTCAGGTCCATGGATGAGAAGTACTTGGCGTGGCAGAGGTTGTCGAGGGCGTCGTCGATTCGTGGCAGGGGGTACACGTCCTTTTTGGTGATTTTGATTAGTCTCCGGTAGTCAACGCAGAATCTCAAAGTGCCATCTTATTTCTTCACGAGTACAACCGGTGTAGCCCATGGACTTTTCGATGGCTGTATTATGTCGTCACTTGAGTCCGGATGGCTTCGCGCTCGTGTGAAGAAATGCGGTACGGTGACTGTCTGGTAGGTCGGGCTCCATCTTCGGTTATTATCTGGTGCTTCGCCAAAGGTGTCTGACGTAACTTCGAGCTCGAGGAAAAACACTCGCTGTAGCGACGGAGCAACTCCAGTAATCTCTCCCGATTTTCTTGTGACAGCGCCGGGTTCACGTCGAAAGGATGTGGCAGCCTGGAAGCATCTGCGCGTGCGCGTTCAAAAGTGGCCGCCGCGATCACTTGACTCGCTTCTTGCGTTTATTCGAGGAACGCAATCGCAGTGCTCTTGTTTAGATGCTAATACTCCTCGGTGAAATTGGTGACCAAAACGTGGGATCTGCGTTGCTTAAACCGCGCAATGCCTCTTGCGACAGACACACCGTGGTATAGAAGCAACCTTTGGTCAGTCTCCACGATAGCGTCGACGTCCGGAGCGGCACCTTCACAATAGACGGCGATCATCAAGCTTGCACGGGGTGGCAGGGTGACGTGATCGTCGGCGATCCTTACAGCAGCACGTTGTCCGAGGTTCGGCTGCGGCGTCGTGGAGTGATCAGAAGAAAACTTTATCGACCTGGTCTGCAGATCAATTATTGCGCCATTGTCCGTCAAAAAGTACATTCCGAGAATTACGTCGCGGGAGCAGTTAGGCAAAATGACGAACTCCGAAGGGTACGTAGTGCCGTCTATGGTGACGCGCGATGTGCACATTCCACTTGGGGTCACGCGCTAGCCTCCTGCTGTGCGTATGTGCGGACCGTTTCATCTGGTCGTAACTTTCTTTAGCTTGGACGCGAATGACCCACTCATGACCGAGTAGTCGGCTCCCGTGTCAATGAGGGCGACTACATCAAGGCCGTCGATGGACAACTGGACGTCGGATGGCGCTTTTCTCGAATTTCGGGTGCGTCGGGGCATCGTATCGCGGCTTGCGCATGTTGATGGTCGGGCACTATGCGTCGTCATCGTCGTCTTCTCAGCGGCAGGCTTCGTCATTTCGGGTACGCGTCGCGCAGCGTAGCTGTCGTCGTTTTCGGGGGTCTCGTCAGGGTGTCGTCGGGTCGTCGGGATGAAGGCATGTCGTGAATCACGGCCTTGCATCGTTGGAGGGTTTTCATTTTCTCGCCGTTGTGCAACTTCACCTCCAGAAGTTGCTGCTTTTAGTTTCCCCCTCGTGGGCTGGGGGACCTTCCACGGGCGAAGTCAGCATTGCTGCGACGGTTGGGGGATTGGTACGGGTAGGGCGACGGCGAACGGTTGAAACGGGATGGTCCACGGCTGGTGTTCGACAGGTATTCTTCGATCTCAAATGGGCGCTGGCCGGCTCGCGGGCGGGGTGCGTCGACGGAGAACCCACGCAAACCCGGCCTCTTGTACGGGCAGCGGCGGTAGACGTGGTCGGCCTCTCCGCAGTGGTAGCACAGCGGACGATTATCTGGCGTTCGCCACACCTCGGTCTTCCTGGGCGCCTGGTTTCGGGTTACAGGGGGTCGGGCGGGCGACATTGGGTGGCGGTACGGCGGGGCCTCTTGATAACGGGTTGGGACGGGTTGGGGTCGACTAGCAGCAGCGGAGTAGGTCATTGCTTGTGATTCGCAAGATGCTTCCGACGGCGTGGAATTCCCCAGTGCTTGCTGAACTTCCTCGCGGACGACGTCAGTGAGGGAGGCGACTTGGGGCTGCGGCGTTGCTGGGAACAATTTCCTCAGTTCCTCGCGAACGACGGCGCGGATGGTCTCCCGCAAGTCTTCCGTCGCCAATCCAGGGGCGTTTACCGGGATCACCGAAAGGGTGTTGAGTGGTCTATCGTATTGCCGCGAACGCATATCCAAGGTCCTCTCGATCATCGAAGCCTCGGTGACGAACTCAGCGACGGTCTTAGGGGGGTTGCGGATGAGTCCAGCGAAGAGCTCTTGTTTAACTCCCCGCATCAGAAAGCGCACCTTCTTCTCTTCTGCCATTTCGGGGTCAGCTCTCCGGAACAGCATCTTCATCTCCTCAGCGAACAGTACAACACCTTCGTTAGGGTGTTGCATTCGCGTCTCCAACAAAAGGGCAGCTCATTCTTTCCGCACAACCATAGCGAATGTTTTGAGGAATTCGCTCTTAAAGACAGTCCAGTCGGTTAGGGAGCCTTCATGGTTCTCAAACCACGTTCGAGCTGCATCCTCCAAATAGAAGAAGACATGACGAAACGTTTCTTCGTCATCCCACCTGTTAAAGATGCGGATGCGCTCCAGCTTCTCCAGCCACTCTTCCGGGTCTTCACCAGAAGATCCTCGGAATGATGGGGGCTCACGAGGTTGTTGCAGAACGACGGGAGGGTTGGTAGCGCTGGTCATGGTGCCTGCGTTGATCATCGTGTTTTTTACGTCTTCTTTCCTTTTTTTATCCGGGAGCAGTACAAACTCTGGCTGAAGGCCTTGCTGTCGGCGGCTGACACGAGTAGGGCGTGCTTATCGTGTTGGGCTTGCTTGTCGGCTTGGCAATGGCTTAGGTTTCATGTACCCCGCACCTCCACCAGATGTCACCTCCACCAGAGCGTCGGCGATCGAATGTCGTGGCATCGGCTGTGCGGGAATTTATATCCCTCGGCGTGAGGGTTTCTCGAATAGTCGAATTGTATCGAGAACGCCGTGATAGCGTTTGTTCGAAACGCTGTTCGTTCGGAATTCTCGAAGCGCTGTTCGATAGCGTTTGTTCGAAACGCTGTGAAAACAGTGATGGCACAGGCCGGCGCAGCCAGGCCGAAAAAACAAAACACAAATAAACAAACCCAATGCATAGTTCGCGGCAATATATATATATATATATATATATATATATATATACAATCAAAGTTGCCGCAGTTTGCTAAGAAATGCCTCGCACTTAATAAAGTTTTGTTCATCACGGGCACCTTGCCCGATAATAACGAGTCGATGAAAATGAAGCACACAATGAATTCACTGTAGCTTCAGTTGCTGTTACTTATGCCGAACTTTTGTTGGAGTACGCCACGCGGGAGCCTGTGCGTTGATCGCGCGCCTGCAGAATCTCGTTCTCCGACGTTATCAGGTGCTTGCTTATAGAGTGTAAAGGAGAGACCACAGCCACTTACACAGACATTTACGCAGGTCCGAGCACGCTGCGCGTGAGCGCGTTCTGCCATTGCTTGGGACAGCTTCTGCGCATGCGCCGTGAATGTCGCCACACACAACACATTCAGCTAAACCATTAGCTGCTTCGCATCTAGTAAACAAGCTCACTGTTCTTATGGTTTATCCAAAGATGAGTCGTATTCAACGAACATTCTGCTGGTGCTCCCTGCGCTTATTACGGTAAAAGCATTCGTAAAAACTGTGAAAGGTCCTATACATTCGCTTAACGTGATCATTTTAGGCGTAAAATATCTCCAAATAGACAGATATGTGAGGTTCAACGTCTCAAAACCACCACATGATTAGGAGAGACGCAGTAATAGATGGTTCCGGAAATTTTGGCTACCTGGAGCTCTTTAACGTGCAATCAAACCTAAGAACACGGGCGTAGAACATTCCCGCTTCCATCGGGAATGCAGCCGTCGCACCCGGGGTTCAATCCCACGACCTGCGGTTCAGCAGCTGAGTACCTTATCCACTACACCACCGCGTAGGGGCATAAAACCTCTCCAGTGTTACATGTAAATCTTACATGAAGGAATGGTGCCCACAGCAGAAAAACTTTCATTGTTGAAAATTTGGTGTCAAAGAGGCGTTTCAGTAGCCACATATTGCGCATGCCATGAAGAGATTCCAGGCGTTGACCCACGCTAGACAGATGAAAGACACCGTGCCCATGCTGGACAAAGGCAACGTAAATAGGAAAGCTCTAACCAACTGGTAAACTTTGCAGATGCGAATCGTTCAGATAATTACAGAGTATAAGTTTTCACGAGTTCTTGGATGCATAGTCTGTAGGAGCGATGTGTCTTAAAACAATTGTAAATGTTCGACACCTCGTGTGTCGAAGTTTTAGCCCAGTCATACGAAGTGGTGGATTCCCCTAAAAAATATCTGCGCACGCAGGCTTAGTATAAAGAAAGCGTTATTCCACTCACACGTGCTGAGGGTACTTACCTTTGCTACCTGAGAAACTTTCCAACTGAAGTTGAAAGGACTGCGTTTCATTTGCTACTGCGAAAGTCTCGTAGCCAAAGGACACAGTCTCTTCAGTGCTGTTACTTAGTACAATTCGCAGACTCATGTTCTCTTTCCCTGACGTAAGGGCGTGCAGAGCTTTGTTACCTGTGAGCGAGAAATGAAATTATTGCCGCAAAGCATGCGGTATTCAACGCTTACAGAATAACGCCAGACATACGCAACTATATGTCGGCTGGGTAACAAAACAGTATGAATGTTGTTGTAGTAATTTGTTGACTGCAACGACTACCGCAGACTTTAAAGAATGGTGATGGCGAATCTTTATAACGCTTGGTAGCTGCTAACACCACTGTTACTACTGCTGCAAACAAAGCTTCATGCATTTTGAGAACGATAAAAGTCTAACCACTGCAGCGGCAGCAGCGAGCATAACATCGCATCAGTTTGAAAACGGTATCAACCTTAAATCAGCTCTTTATCCAGTGAAAATGGGGTATTACAACAAATGAAATCAATTAGGGTTTTCTATTTCTTTTATACGCAACGCTATGAAACAAACAAATTGTGGCGGCAAAGAAAACTTACGACACATAATTTGTTGTTTTTTATTTGCACCATGGTGGCATGGTTTATAGGATAAAAAAATGAAGATGGACGAAAAGACAAGTCGCTGTAGGTAGGGTGCAAATGAAACATGAAATGATTGTAGTCATATGTCTGAAGATGCCCTTAACTGTAAATAAGTGCGTAAAAATTAAAAATAAATAATTAACTTTCACTTAATCTCCTCTAAAACCTTTCACATTGATGAATTCTGTTGTAATGTGACTAATTTACTTAGTAATATAATTCAAGCATCCTGTGAATTAGGTCTGAAATTGCAAAATAAAAGGAGGCTGAATAATTCGTTTCTCATGCATTAGGTTACTTATAAAGCTTCCTTCTTATTGTTATGCACATAATATATATTCCTATACCGTTATATTGTGACATTAGGCAAGTGTCACCTGGTTCATAGACCACCCTCAAGGGTCAGCGGCGTGGCTACACTACTAGAGAGCTATGTTCATCACTATAAAACTGCTGTCGCAGTGGATTCAAAGCCGAACAATTTCCTGAGGGCCACCTTATTTTTCTGTCGCTCAACTGAGTCTTCGTCTCTTACCAATCCAGTACTCATCATCAGGATCTCCGAATCCATTGGCGTACTCAGTCCAGTTCCGGTAGAAGTAGTAAGCATTGTGTCCGTACTGCCCACGTCGTTGGATGACCTAAAATAGAGAAACTATCTTGGAGGCCCATGCACACGAGTAATTTTCATGGTTCATGCGCATGGAATGCTATTTACGACGGTGAAGAAGTGGAGTTGATGGCGATCATTGCTAAACAGCGCCACCGAAGTGGCCGTGGTTACTTGAGCTGTATTCTCAATACGGAAAAAGCTATGGTCTTCACCTTTTGCTTGCGCTTGACATCCTAAAACAGCACGCTTTGTAACTTTTTTTCTATTGTGATAAATATCTCCTTACTAAATAAACATACCCCAGGCGTGAATGCTGAACTTGAACGGATCTATTTGAGAGAGCAAACATTTCTCACAAGAGCAGGTACGGCATGAGGGATGCCTATTTATTGTACGTCGTAGAAAAAGTGCCAGAATTATGATGTTATTTGAATCTGGTCACAACCATTCATCCTAACGTGATTTCACTTCGCACCGTATTTGGCTTTTCAATGGCAGTTCAGCTTAGTTTACCTAAAGCTATTAGGTAGCGCGGTGTAAACTCTTTCAACGAATTGAGATAAAAGCAAGGAAAAGCAGCATGCGTTCAAAATTTTGGTGAAGCATTTCCTTTCGGGGCACTACTGCGCTGGCGCCAAAACTGTCACACATTGCTACCATGCGGCTTCTCGAAAAGTGACTTTGCAAATCACAGCTAAAAGGTTTTTTGTACCAGAGAAAAAAATGTGTCTTCAGGAGTGAGTGCTGTTGTGACGCAGTATTGTCTCGACGTAGTGACGGCAACAAACATTTGAATCTAGAACTGTGACGACCATAACGAAGAAACAACTACTACTGCAAAATAAAGAACACACAAAACAGATATGTGAAAATTTTCGCAGACGTTCAAATAATAACGAGCCGTTTAGAAATATTAGCGGCAAAAATGTGCAAATTAAGTCATCGGCTAATGATTAGCCTTGCGTTTACCAAGGTTATCAGGAAAAACTGCATATATTTGTTAAAAGCACGTTCTAGGCGACTTTTTGTGTATGGCGGGTTTGAAGTTCTGACCAGTAAGAAACTTCGGCGCCTATAAAAAGGAGGCATGGATACTGCTTAAAGAAGAAAGATGCTTTTTAATGAGCAGTTGTGCTTCATATATTCCTAAAAAAAGTACCATTTTCATAACTCGTGGAGATCATCAAGACGGCATTATTTTAAACTCGCATGGGCTTATTTCGAGGCATCTGTATTATATTGGACGATCACATTTTTCGGCTTGTGGGCTCTACAACGAGAAGCAATGAAATTTTTATTGCAAGTTTTATTCGCAGCCAGTAGCATTTATAGGGTTTTCCTGCCGTAGCACATCCGATACTGAGCGACTGAAAGAGAGGTGCATCACAGATCTTTTGAGGAAACTTTACCGTTTTACCCAAGCGGAACACAATGAATAGTTACTAAACACAGCTAAAAATCTTGCGAATTTTATATATAAACTGAACTGCCTACAATCAATCGACGATATTGTCTCATTTTGATTGAACTTCAAGTACACGTGGCCAATGCGCCAAGCTATCCTGTGGAAATGCCTGACCGGGACAGGTGAACTCAACTTTTCGAATGAGGTGCTTTTGTAACCAAGTTAGCTACGCGGAAATTATCGTGTTATATTGTAGCATGACGTAGCGTAAATATTTTGCTACATTGAGAAAATCCAGAAGTAATAGGAACCAGTGCCATTTTTGCCTAATGAGTTAACTAAGTCTCTACCGGGAAAAAACCATTCGCTTGAAGCAATGAATCCGATCACAACAAATTGTATTGCAATATTAGGTATGGGAGGAGCCAGATACTGTATCATTAGAATGAGCGTAACTGAAATAAACACAAAAACAACGCAACAGAGTCACTTATTCGAATGAAGGTACATTCATGCGGTTAATTGCTTTAGCGAAAACACAACAAAGCATAGGGCGCGGAAGGGCATCAACCACGTTCTTTTTCTTACCTAATGAGCGCTCGGTGACCACGCTCACACGGTCAAAGCTTGAGCTGTTGCCCGAATTACGTTGGGCCTACTCCGGGACACCTGATGGCACTTTCGCATACTGAGAAAACAACGGCGCGTCTCCTTTCTACTGGAGTTGTGGACGTCGGCGGCACTCGCGCGTTTGCTCTCGCACTAAGAGCTGATGATGCTGAAGAATATTATCGCAATTTAGACTTAATAGACTTATTAGGTAACGTGACACTGACGTGGATGCGTCACCTACGCACGCTTGTGATGCCTTATGTTGACGGCGCGATTGCCGAAGCTAATTGCATCAGCGCATAAGAGCGAAGCAAGAAAGACAGAAGAAGCAGCTAGCTCCTATTAACAAATTGCCCAAGTAACGTCTCATTGATGTGTCTCTAAAGAACAGCAATCACCGCAATACAGAGCTTCTTGTGCAGGTTTTGTCAAATGGCAATGCACTGCTAAAAAAAAAAAAACACTTGATTGTCGCTGGGTATGCATCAGGATAATAAACGTGAAGCGGGCAAGGTTTGGTTACGTGTGTGTCTGTAATAGGCGTAGGGTTAAAGCCTGCGATGTATTAAGTTTCAAATGGGGGGGGGGAAATGCGGCACTCAAGATAAAAGTGCTTTGTTATGTGAATGTACGTAATGGGAGCATCCCGGTTGGTCTTTAACTCAGGAAGATGGGGTTGCCCTGTGGTGGTGCGGTCGCTAAGTGCACGTGCTGCATCATGGGTGATCTCGTTGAGGTTGAATAGGGCACCCGGCACGTGGCCGAGATGGGCGCGGAACCAGATGACAGTGTGGCTCTTCAGGGCACTCGGGTCTGCTTTGCGCAGGATACGTAACGCCTGGTCGGAGATGAATCCGCGTTCGAAGGCTTTGATGGCTGGTCTGGAGTCGCTGTAGATGAGTTTCCGTTTGCTGTCTAGCATAGCTATAGCTGCCCCGCCACGGTGGTCTAAAGGCTAAGGTACTCGGCTGCTGACCAGCTGGTCGCGGGTGCGAATCCCGGCTGCGGCGGCTGCATTTCCGATGGTGGCGAAAATGTTGTAGGCCCGTGTGCTCAGAATTGGGTGCACGTTAAAGAACCCCAGGTGGTCGAGTTTTCTAGAGCCCTCCACTACGGCGTTTCTCATAATCATATGGCGGTTTTGGGACGTCAAACCCCACAAATCAATGAAATCATAGCTATAGCTATAGCTACTTGCTCCGCTACTTAAGGGTTTTGGGTGAAGATTGTGGCAGAGTTAAGAGTCTTCTGCGCGGATGATACCGCGACCGTGGCGAAGGCTTGGTTGTTGTGATAGGCAGTGGCGTCTTCGAATGAGACGTTGTCTGATTCTATGTCTATGCGCATGAAAATGGTGGTCACCCACGCAAGGCGCCTGCCTCTGTTGTATTCGGGGTGTACATTTCAGGGTGTACATTGCAGCAGGTTGTCTTCTTTGAGGCCATGGTGCCTGTTGGCTACTCTACGTGGGAGTCGTATGGCACTCTCAGTCTTAGACCTGAGCTTGTGTACCGTTTGGATGTTGGTTCCGCGGGACTGGATGATTATGCCGGGGACCTTGATGGTATTTACCCTAGGTACAGTACGACCATCTCTGTTCTGAGCGAAAAATTTTCATTTTTTGCGTGACGGAAAAATTGTCCATTTTTGCGTTACCACTAAATTGAGAAAGACGCAAGTAATATGAAACATTCTGCGTCTGAGCGATGATCGAACCCGGGTCGTTATCGTGGCAAGCGGGTGTTCTACCACACAGCCACACCTCTACTTGCAAATACTGTGAAAATACTTTCCTCAGCTTGGGAATGCAGCGAAAGTAACTTTCGTGCTTTACAACCACACGTTTCCTGTGTACATATTTAAATTTACAACGTGAAGCTGCCGTAATAATGTGTGGTACAACGGTACATGACCATCAGTTGCCAGAACATGGAATTACAATGACTTCGTAGTTTAAAGGGTCACCCACTACAAAAAGCATACACGTTACTGCATTCTCAAGGCCACGTAGTGTGTGTACAGCAAGTTCAAAAAGATTTCATACACTAAGTGTTTAAAGTATGGACTAGGAACAGATTATCGCTATAGCGTGCAACTTTTAAAGGCAAAGCTTGAGAGCTTTCCTAGGTTTTTTCTCCTTGGGGTTAACTGTTAGAATTTCGGTCTACGTCTTTCAGTTCTCAGAGTAGTTACGCCCATAAAGTGCGGTTGTCAGGCACCACGACTACTTTGACATGGTAAGGGCAGCTCACAGCTTGACGTATCATTGGCGTTACTGTCTAAGTTGGAGCTGAGGCATCAATTTCATCACAAAGGAATGCGGGCTGCATTGCGAAGATAGGCATATGATCTGTAGTGCTAGCCGGATGATTAGAGTAACGATTTACTACAGCTTGCAGAGTCAGAGATTTTTTATTTGTTACGTGACATCTGTGTTGCTTTTTTGTGCTTGATTGTGAGGGAGTTTGAAGCACTGATTGCACTAGTATACTTGGCTGGCATGCAAAATACATGGGTTATACTGGGGTGAGTTTTTTCTGAAAATTTGTTTCCAGCAGCAGTTTTTCCGACTAAAAACACCGGACAATGCTTTCAACGCTTTTTACTCGACACGGCCGAGCACGTTTACGTTATCGCGCTATGGTTTGGAAAGTTTGGCTCGGTAAAGAGTGTGAATGCCATGTGGCGCATGTCTTCTACGTTGGCAAGTAGCATGCGAGAATGCGCAATGCGTTACTGGCGGAAGCGCTTTCATGTGGTACGTGAAGGGGCAGTGATGGTACTGCGTGTGAAGCATATTTAGCACAATGACTAAGTCGGTCAGTGCTTTATTCAAGATCCTTGACATGGGAGTACGTAACGAAGACAGTGACTTGGTATGACAAGGACAAGCGTATACTACCATCTGGAAGTTTTTTCGGCAACCAGTGATATATGCATGCTGACACATTGAAGGGGGAAGGAAGAACAACATTTTAGCAGGCAGAAAGGCTAACGAGGCACATGCCTGG